AGCTTTGGAGTTTCTGGTGTTTTTTAAAGCTGAGAACACTGGCTGTAGAGTCAGAGAGACCTGGATTCCAATCCTGGCGCTGTCCCTTCCTGCCTATGGCCTTAGGCAGGGAACATAACCTGCCTGAGCATTAGCTTCCTCTCTATAAAACAGAGAACCAGAGACGATTACCGTGCCCTCCTCTGAGGGACACTGTGAGGGTTGGCAGGTTGATCGGTGCTCAGGGCCTGGTGCACACTAGATGTTCAGGGATTGCCAGTTTCCTGCCCCTTTTGGGCCACCAAGCCCCCCACCACTGAGCTTCCAGGTAGCTCAGTACCTTAGCTGAATGTTAACCGAAATCCAAGATGCTAAGGTGTGTTGGACCTGGATTGTCCTGGATTTTCATTCAGTTCAGCATGCGATACCTCGTAAAACTGGGGGAGGTAATAAATCACGGTGTGGCACAGTACCCAGCAGATCGTGGGGGGAATGGAAGCGTGTCCGGAGCATTGCTCTTGTTCAGGCGGAACGGTGGGCTCATTTGTAAGTCGCCAGCCAAAGTGAGAGGCTGTATGGAAAGGATTCCTCAAGCCAGCCCTGCTTACCAGCCCACGCCCCAAGGAGGGTCTGCCACGTGCCTGACTTCTCCCTGTCCTGGGGCTCTCCCCAGAGCCCCACGTCGGGGGAATAAGACGTAATGTGTCTACATCCCTGAAGTTTGAGGGGAGGCCACTGAGGATCCTTCCCCAGAGTCGGGCACTAGGCAGGGGTGAGACCGAGAGCATTGCTTACACTGCTTTGGTTGGGCTGTGTTCTTGGGCCTGCCGCTTAATTTCTATGGGCCTCACTTCTCCCGTTTGGACTAAGCTGGTGTCCTCAAATTTCAGTGTTTATCGTCACGTGTGGATTTTGATATAATGCAGATTCCTGGGCTTCTTGCAGACAAAGGCTGAGCCAGGGGCCAAGAATCTGCATTTTTCACAAGGATGTTGGCAATTCTAATGTAGGAAGTTGCAGGGACATGTCTTTAAGCAGCCCTGACTAGGGGGACAACCCTTATTTCAGTGTTAGGCGCCTAGTGAGAGGTCCTCACAGCAAATGTTGTGGTAGATGCTAACGAACC